GAATTCCACCAGAAAGCGGATCACAACGCCTTCCATTGTTTGCTTGTTTTTATAGTGTTAACTGCACTATCGCAAGCGAAGTCTTGGCGCGCACAAAGCTCAATTCGTAAAACTCCTTGCCAAAGTTCGGAATCTCACGCCATTCGAGGTCATATCCTTCCTTCGCATCATCTAGTCATCTTGTCCTGATCCCTCTCACATCAATCCCAAAGAACTGTCTCCCAGATTTGTGCGCCACTCTTTGCTTCCTCCGTCAGGTATAAATATCGGCGTGGGCGTGTATTTGGAGGTCAACTGAGGCCAGAGAAGGTCGAGGAGTGGTGTGGTCATAGGGATGATGATGTACTAGGTCGTACTTGTAGACTTGATGAGACTTAGGTAAGGGTCAATCTCGTTGGGAGCGAAAAAACAACGTAGAGGAGTAATTTGCCTTTTTGCTCGTGAGCCCACTTCTTTGATATTGCCTCGCTTAACCCCGATTGGTGGAGTAGAGTGTGCTAAGGACTAGCAAGGGTCATGGGTTCTATTTGGTATCGTGTGTCGCACATGAAGAGAATAACCTCCATCCTCTTCTACATTATATTCTTACATATCCATATTGTAAAGAGTAGTTTCAGTCAAGTATTTTACTATCTGTTATTTACATACATAAATAATACACAGAATTCTCGGTTTACATACAAGTGTCAGAGTCAGTATTAGTACCATAGGTAACCTCAAATTATAATAGTTAATGAGCCCGGGAGCGCTCCGAGTTAACAGGATTATAAAAAAAGAATAATTTCAGCACGAGAATCCATCATAACTCTCGGCCCAGCACTTCAGATTTACGAATATTTGTCCAATGCCCAATGCGCACTTGTCAACCATGACTGTCTGGGACATGTCTTCCACAATGTCCTCGGATTCACACCAGTCGAGTGTCCGATTGAACGAACGAAATTAAATGAAACAACCGAAGAATACGAGCACAAGACTCAAGCATACAAGTGAAAGCTATGATGCTTTAATAATGGCGAAATTAACGCCAGAATTAATTTGGTCAGTCGGATCGCCAAGGAATGAAGGCCTAGGAATTTTATGAATATGAGTGCCAAGCAGCTTTTCGACCACGTATCCAGCGCACGGGGTGAAGGGGCTACCACACCATATGAGACAGCAGTGAGGAGACTTTTCGCAACCAAGCTCACATCGTCGATTGGTAATTACTGCAATGAGTTCATGCAAAATTATATCGATGTAAACAGTGTTAATGAATCTTTAAGGCCCAAGAGCTTGGACAGCAGTCAAGAAAAAAACAGAGACATGTTTACGGTGACCTCAGGCCTTGCGGGCTTTATGTTCATAATGGGAACGGAAGACATAGAATGGCTTGACACTTGGCGTCATGTAAAAGTGTATGAAAAGGACAACAGATATTTCTCTTTAGACATCATGATGTCAGCACAGCGCCAAGTGACAAAAGGTGAACAGCCTCAAGCTGACGTTCACGGACAATCTCAATTTCCGAAGGAAAAGGGAAGGGTAGAATCCTACAAGAATGAGGAAGAGTTTGTAACTGCATATCCCAACCAACCTTGCCAACTATGTGAGCATATGCATAAGAACAAGAATTGTTTCAGGCATCACCTTGAAATGAAAAGAAATAAATCCGCGTACAGGGGTAGTGAAAACGGAGCTGCACAACAAGACAGAATCTCCTAAGACGAAGACAATGATGATTTAACTGGTAGTGTTAAGTAAGGCACTGTAGCAAGTGCAGTCGCTAAATTAAATGACCGTCTATCATATGACATTGGTGCATCGTACCACTTTGTGACATCGAAATATGACTTCAATCTTCTTAAAGAATTATCAAAGCTATTTGAATTCGATCGGGCATCAGGAAGATCAAGATTGACACATGAAGGCACATTCCTTATTCAGATTTGGTGCTTAAATCTGGACTTAAAGAATTGCCTTTTTTCATCAAACTCTGCATGTGACATAATCTCAGCCGTTAGGCTAAAGAAGGATCACAGTGTTGTTGCTTTGAATCATAATAAACTACTAGTTAGAGTTAATAAGGATTCAACTGAAGAACCAGTTGCAAACGAAGGAGTTTTATTTACACAACCTTTAGTCTTAAACCACGAAAGCTTACGGAGTGATATTGTGGCATCAGGAATAGCAAGAATTAACAGAACAAGCAGCATAAAGAGGTAGCAGGAGGACGAAGGCTGAACAACTGTCAGTGGTGTTCTCTACGAAACTGGGGGTGAAATATCCCTCCCACAAAGCCGAGATTTAGTCACGACAATGGACGAATTCGAGAGTTTTCGTCGAGTTGGCGATCGGGAGGAGTGGTGTCGGCTCATTTTTGGTCCAAAATGCGACTTGCAGAGATTTTACGACTGCACAACTCAACGAAATCACACATCTACACCCCAGATACAAACCGCAGACAGGCTATAACCTGTCTAATGTTTGTATTACAACAACCGATTCCTTCCAGGTCTTATTTTCTATTTCTCTGGAAAATCATTTCCAGCCAAACTCATCTCGCAGCCCTCTCCACAATTATCTTACCACCTACCGGAGCAATCCCATACCTCCAAAAGCCAAATCGCCAACTAAGAAACAAGAGGATGTCCGACCCTACGCAACTGCCAGTCGCTGTGACGGTACGCTCGAAATACCGGCCTTAAATGCGTCCTCACCTCGGCCAAGGGCACCTACAACTCGATCTGCGATGATTCGCCACCGATGAAATACGCACGACATTTCGCCGGCACACTGTAACAGTTGTGAACTGTACTAAGCATGCGCTCGCCTAAACATACTCATCTTGATCTGGTTAAGCTCGGCTAATATTCTTCCGGCCTCGGCACACAGTTTGTATGATAATTTCGTGTACACATAACTTTCTCTCTTTAGATTAAATATAGCTCATGATTCAGACCCAACTATATCATTCTTAGCTTTCCTCTGGCACACACCAACTAGAGCGTTCGACGAAGGCTGGGGTACCGGTGCCTCGGTCTTAAGCTCTCAGTCGCGTTTTCGACCTCCATGGTTAGGGGCACGGCAGCGACGGGGCAAGGCCGGAGGGGTGGACATTATACAAAGTTTCTGGGATGACGAGATCGGCTGAAGGATAGAGGGATGCTAAATGAAGGAACCAAAATGGAACACAAACTGAAGAGGCCTTGGTGGGCGACTGGATGAGATAAGGAGATGCTGAGATGAGCCAAAGCTGGGACTTAATGGAAGGGAAACATTACAGATCGCGAAGGTGTCAAGGACTCAGGCGCGTGGTGGCCGGGGCTGAGAAGTAATTTGCGCTTCGGTGCGCCAAAAGAGGGTTCTCTGGACGGCTGGGCTTGACATGATTCAACAAATGGGTGAAGTCTGAGGTGGTCCGGTCATTTAGGTGGGACGAGGTAGCTGTACTTAATGGTATTTAACCTGACACAGCCCGGCCCCACCCCTGCTCAGGCTCTAGTAGGAGTGCAATGTTAGTCACTCTACCTAGCACGTTAATGAACAAACCAAACCAAACCAATAGGTGGCGAGGTTTTGTCAATGATTTAAACTTGAAGGCAAACGAGGAAATGATTAAAGCATTAATCATCGATCTAAAAAGTTATACAACTCCTATGGATCAAACTCAAGACATGAAGACTCTCCAAGAACTACTATTTGGACTACTCTCTAAACGATTAATAATTCAAATTTCCGTCTCGGATTTTAGTCATCTAGTAGCATTGATCAACAGTTATGCTGGTGATCATGAAATTTGGTCAACCGTCATCTAAATCGTTAATCATATTGACAAAGAAAATCAACCTACCAACACTGTCTCACTGACTCCTGTGGGTAAGAAAGAATATTCGAAGATCAATAAATTTCCAAGCGCTCCGGAACTAGTAGGTTATGATGCCAACGCTGCTCAACTGACAATGACGCTCAAATGCGAGCTTCAAGATAAGATTCATAGAAATGTCGATAGATTTTGGGAAGTAGATTTTGAAAAAAACTCATAGTCTGAAACGAGGGCACAAATCTGGAAAAGCTATAGCGAAGATTGTCAACGCAGAATCGGTAACTTCTTCTCAGATTATATAAATGAAGAAGCGATACGAAGCTGGATGCACGCTTTTCGAGATCGTTACCTGATTCAGCTAATGGAAAATTCGAACGATTTAGGGAAAAACTGTCCAGCTATTCAGAGGGAACAGAGAAAACTACATGTGCGTGGTAAATTTTGTTATGCAACAAAGCCAAGTGTGTTAGTGTTTTTATTGTACTACTTGAGTCTATGACTGTCTAGCACATTGGTCTCCTCTCTAACCCAGGCCACACCTTGTACAGTGCTCCCATCCTATTTTATTACTTGAAAGATCATTGATATATTGCCCGTGATGAATATCCATTCAGCTCAGTATTTGCCTGTGGAACTCGGCCACCTTTTCCACGGAACTTTCTACCCAAAAAAAACTTGAAAATTAAAAAAAAGGTCGCAATGGAAACTGCGTGCGCGGAAAAAAGTCCCAAAAAACCTGCAGCGCCAGCCAGGCGAGGCCTAGACACCAGGACCACATGAAGTGCGCACATTCATCTATATCTATCTTCTTTGTAACAGTCGAGGCCGACTTGATCCAATCCACCATCGCCGTATCGGGTGCTGGACACGTTCCGAAAACCCATCGGATTGATTTTCCTCCATGATCAAGGATTGGTGATGAGAAGGGCTCCGATCCCACCATCTGATCTGATCGTGATTAGCTTCATGATAATGGCGATAGGGGTATGTGTTGAGAGATGAAGACGATACAGACGGCGAAAGCGATTGAGAATCTTTATTGAAGTGAGGACTTTGTTACTCAATCTCGGTACAGCAGACTCTACAGTGAGAGCTGGAGGTTCGTAGGGGACACCGCTGACAGGTGTTAAGAATAGTCCCCCACAAAGCCAAGTGAATTCAATGGTGGTTTAAACGATTGTCAAGTGGACTTTTTATGAAAAGTTTTGATATCGCTGACAATGTCGAACATAATTGGAGAGATATCAGAGTCGTGGGAGAAATAACCTCATTAAACGAACTGGCAGCTGATAAGATCCATCAGTTGATGAGGTACATGTGCAAAATCTTCTATTCGCAGCCGCTTCGTCGATTTGCACATGCGTTCTACCTGCACAACAATTACATGGAGCTCTGGATTGCCGATCGGGCAGGTGCATATAGCTCTGGTGAAATAGACGTATCGAAGAGCCAAAAAATACTGGTCCGGGCATCATCTTCCTATATGCTCATGCGTGACGAGGATCTTGGATTGGACCCAGTCACCAACTTCGATAGTGACGGTCGATATTTCGTCACAGTTCCAAACAGCAAGGAATCAGTGGAAAAAATTGACGTGTACCCCTTACCTGTAGCTCGGCCAGAAACTAAAGTTTCGAGAGGAAACACGTGACTGAAGACGAAGGACAGCGCGTATATGCTAAAATTCTCTTGGGGCTCTGAGTCTATGGAATCCGAGACCAAAATTTTCAAACGTGTAAAAGATTTTACTGACGTCATTATGTTGAATTCCTCTTCCGATCTGTATGATATCGATGAACACCAAAAAGGAATGAAATTTTCAGAAGATAAAAAATAGGGCGTTAACGTCAGTGACCCAGCTCTCTACTATGGCGTTGTGACGAGATCTTGGGCCAAGAAATCTTACATTGAGCGTTAACTTACTTACGCTAGGCTGTCACCGGTTTGACGACCCCTTCAGTCTTCTTCAACGGTCCGGGAATTCGTACGCGGCATACGAGACGCCATTATCGGACACCGTACTTTAAACGAAAGAGGGATTATTCACGGTGACATTCCGGCTGGAAATATCATTTATACACTTTGAACTTGATCGTCGACTTTGAATCTTGGTCTGCTATCACACACACGGAAATAGGTTCATGGGATTGCTTAATGAGACGCTAGGATTTATTCCGATATAATTTGGTAGAAGACTTGTCCCAACTATCAGAGGCCTACAACGTCTTTATCTATCTACACGTAAATTCCCCATATTCCAATCACACTAGCCTTGCAGGACGTAGCATATAAAACTTTATTCGTATCATTATTTTGGGGTTGAGGTTTACCGTACATTTTGCAACTTAAGTCGCATGCCTGACAACTATGAGAAACGCTCAGGTATCAATCTAATAACCCAAACCAAACCGAAACTACTCACAGCCCTAGTGATGACCCCATGAATAATTGTAATAGTAGCCTGCAACATAGCACATTTAGGCTAGACATCGTTGACCAGGACCTAATCCGAACAAAATACATACGCCATTTCGCTGGCACATCAAGTAGAGCATTTGACAAAGGCTGGGGCACCGGTGCCTCGGCCTTGAGCTCTCAGTCGCGTTTTCGACCTCCACGGTTAAGAGTACGTCAGCGATGGAGCAAGAATGGAGGGATGTAGAGTCTACAAAGTTTATAAGATGGCAATATTTACAGATGATTTGAAGAAAGCTATAAAAGAGGAAGAAAATTTGAGGATGCTTCCGTAGGTGGCTGGATGAGGCATGTAATGGAGAAGTCATCTCTTTGATGAGATGACGATATGCTAAGATGAATAATGACTGGCAATAATGGAAAGGACAAACTAGAGATTGTGAGTGTGTCAAGGTCTCAGGCGCGTGGTGACCGAGTCTGAGGAGTTTGCGCTTCGGCGCGTTAGAGTCGGGCTCAATGGATCGTGTTGGATTTGACATTTTTAACACATGGTAGAGGTCTGACGTGTTTTTGTCCATTAGATGGGCCACGGTTTATTCTACTTGTATGGTAGTTAACTTGATCCAGCACGGCCTCTCCTGTGCTCAAGCCCCCAAAAGAGTGCTGAGGGTGCCAGTTATGTTGGAAATATCGCTCAATGAAATGGGCGTAATATTCACGGAACAAAAGTAGAAGTTTACTAAAAGAGTGTCATGTTCAGATTAAAGCTAGAAGTATGGGAAGTGTGCGCTACAAGTACAAGTGTAAGCGACACAGAGCCTAAGTCACAGCATAAACGAGTGTGGCTCCATCTAGGCATAGAAAACCCCCAATAACCTCCTTGCGCCCACGCCATACAGCCGCTCATATCTCCAATAGGTAGCCTGAAGCGCTACTATGTTACTCATTCCAACCTCTTAAATACACACAAGATCGTGTCGGGAACCTGGACAAAATGGAGGGCTCATACGTCCACAACACTCTGTGTCTCCATTTCCAACAACTTGCCTATGACGTTAATAAACCAAAAATTAGATCTTTATGCTCAATACATCATAGTACGTGATTACAGTGGTTAGTTTCAATTCACTCAGACCTTCATGGGTCTTTGATAACTTATTCTTGGATAACTGCAGTCCAATTCACCGACACAAAGTTCCAAGATCGTATATTTGGGAAGAGGATAATTAAAAGTTTTTAATATTCGTCGGGTATAATTCTCTTACTGTACACCTTTGGCCCACTATACTTTTCATCTTATTCTATTCCAACTCTATGCTTCGATCTGAATACAATCATCTTTTATTTCTTTCTCAAACATCAGCTATTAAACATGATGTACAAAGTCAGCAAATATATAAAATACGAGGACTATTAAGGAAATAATGACCCCTCAGTCATTGAGGTTGTAGAGCGCATTGATTCAAGTAACTACCGAAGTGAAACTAAGTACATAATTTGTAGTCACGTGTGTACCAACAACGTGGCCTACTTTATAGCCCCAATTATTCTAAATTCTAACAAGGACGGTAATTAAATGTTAATTGAAAACTTTCTCACCTTCAAGTTTCTTGATAGTGTCATCCAAGACACGAATTACAGTATCATCTAACACATTGGGTACTTCCGGTGTCCCGTATCCCACTGATTTATCTTCAAAGAGTATTTCGCGAAGACCCCATGCCAGATCCTGAACACGTTCAAACACGGGTGTGAAGTAATCGATTATTTTACTTTGAAATCGAATTATGATATAATTTTCCTTCGCGTTAGGGCAAGCAATAGTGTTAGCCTCAGACCAGTGATACAGATGGTCTGAGGCTGTTTTACAACCATAGCTCAAACAGCCGACTATGACAACGTAGAAGAATGATTCAAGATCATTACGGTCAGTTTGCTTCAGGGTGTTTTCCTTTTCGTTAATAGCTGCTAAAAGTTCCATTCTTTCACACTGTTTCTTACCTTTTTTTTCCTGACGAAGTCAAGCCAGGTCTAGATCTATAAGTAGCCCTTCACATGCACCCGTTATGTCCGCCTTGTTCAGAAAGATTGTTCGGATTAGGTCCTGGTCAACGATATCTAGCCTAATTGTGCTATGTTGCAGGCTACTATTACAATTATTCATGGGGTCATCACTAGGGCTGTGAGTAGTTTCGGTTTGGTTTGGGTTATTAGATTGATACCTGAGCGTTTCTCATAGTTGTCAGGCATGCGACTTAAGTTGCAAAATGTACGGTAAACCTCAACCCCAAAATAATGATACGAATAAAGTTTTATATGCTACGTCCTGCAAGGCTAGTGTGATTGGAATATGGGGAATTTACGTGTAGATAGATAAAGACGTTGTAGGCCTCTGATAGTTGGGACAAGTCTTCTACCAAATTATATCGGAATAAATCCTAGCGTCTCATTAAGCAATCTCATGAACCTATTTCCGTCGTGAATAAGCAGATCATAAAACCACGGAAAGCTGCAAGTATCGCAACCAACAGATACACAGGCAGAAATTACATGATCTACAGATTTACAACAATAATTATCCATCGAAACCATTTCAGGGCCTAAAGCAGTATTGCTCTTCAGATATGGAGCGAGCACATTGGGCCCATCACTTTATCGTACTTAAGGAAATGTCCCGGAGTAGCTAATCCAAAATGCTGGTATGGATATCAATTACAAAACGCCAAACGTATGGTCTCTGGGCTCCCTCGGCAAAAGACCCCAAAGATTACGAAGGGGGTAAGACGGAATCCACACTCAATGTACAGTGTAAGTGTACCTATTGGGGGAAGCACTAGAAACTTGAAGACACAAGAGAGGCAATATTGGAGGGGGATTTTCATCGAATTGATTTCCTCCTAAGTAAATCTTGTTGTAATTAAGGCAGCAACATGACTGCAGTAGATAAATAGTACATATTAGAATAATATGCACTGGCGCCATGAGATATAATTAACCCATATCATCACTCATTGGAATAAATTGTAGTTAGCCAATAGATGTCTGACAGCCTACATTGGCTTCAGAATCTCCAACATCCTTCCCATTCAGGTTAGAGAAGGAAGTAAGTTGGACTTCACACTAGTGTGCAGAAAACCCCGCTTTCATGTATAGAAAGGGACTTCTTGCCCCACATATAGAATTACAGTAATTTCCTTACAATTAACTATCCATTAAATATCAGTAAACTTCTTTGTATAATAAAAACATTTATCATATCTCTAAATCAAACTCAAGGCTAGTTTGTTATTCTTACAATCTCCGGAACCATTCTAATTAATATTGTAGCTTTACACATCTGTATATGACCACTGGCAACCTAAATAAGATAAATGAGATCAAGACAAAACTTCTAATATACTAGTATGCTTTATCTGCGTAACTTTCCCGTCCTTGGAAATGATATAAATACCTCACTATTGGCCTCATTGTCCTATTTTGCCCCAGGATTGCTGTGCTAAATTTGAGTGCAATATTTACATTTATTTAGTACATGTTCCTCATTTTGAGGTGAACTAACTCAGTTTTATCTAGCCCATCCACATCTTTCTTCACGGAGAATATTACCTAATAAAGCGGGTATTATTTTCAAAGTTTTTCAGTTATATTTGGCACAAGACAGTAAGTCATTACATAATCATAACAGGATGTACCTAAACTTGATGTCAACTAAGGTACAATCAATTTAGCTGTCCAGTTTGAGCTAAAAGCACGCAGCTCACTTGGCAACTATTAACAGCACATTTATATTGGCGAATTTTGGAAGACTCGTCTAAATTTACGAATAGTGGGAATGTCTGCATCACATTTCCGGGCCGCTGATAACTTGGATAACAAGAAACATCTTCTCCTCTGTGCATCAGGTTCTGTAGCCACCATTAAGATACCACTTATACTGCAAGCCTTGTCAAATTATGAGAACCTGTCAATATGTGTTATCTTAACAAAGTCAGCCATTTCGTTCCTCAGTAGTAATACCCCAGGAAATTCGTCAGTTGAGCACATACTTGGTATTCGAAACGTCAATAGGATCTTTCACGATAATTCTGAATGGGAACATCCTTGGCAACCAGAAAATGGAGTTCTACACATAGAATTGAGAAGATGGGCACATTTAATGGTTATCGCACCCTTAAGCGCTAATACACTTGCCAAAATAGTCGGCGGCCTAGCGGATAATTTGATGACCAGTGTAATTAGGGCATGGGATACCACAGGTAAAATTGATGGAGGAGACAGCTGCAAGAGAATAATTGTTGCGCCCGCCATGAATACTGCTATGTGGAATCATCCTATCACAGCGAAGCAAATTAAGGTTCTTGAAATTGAGTGGGGGATTGTAGACGGTAACTCGACTACAAATGAAGGTACAACGCATGGATGGTTTGAAGTACTAAGGCCAATGGAAAAGATATTGGCGTGTGGCGATGTTGGTATTGGAGCAATGAGAAGTTGGGAAGAAATCGTTGTTATTATAGAACAGAGATTGGGCCTTTGAAGAGATGTAAGAACAATCCTTAAGAGATCTATTCTACTGTAGCTAGTACATCTTCTACCACTTTGTAACTAATTCATACTCTAATTTTGCAAGGTCAACTTTATCTAACCTTTATTCCTAGATCACCATGGCTCGGTTACGACGCGTACCTTGAAACAGAATCTCCAACTTTCCTCATCGGTCCCACTAGTATCGGTATCTCTGAAATCTAGATCTCATCAAGACCTAGTTACCTTCCATGGTCTTGTTCTTTTATTTGAATCCGAATCATCCACCTTTACTAAGTCACCACTAGTACCCTCTATATTACGGCGCGATCTAAAAGGGGTAGGATCTGCTATCTTCGAAGTGTATGAGGTGATTATCGAGGTTCACAATGGAGGTTTAGAATTAAGAACTCAAAGATTAAGAAGAGATAATTGTATTAGCAAGATACTAAAGATGATTATGATCAAAAGAAGAGAAAAATACAAATTACGAAGCTGAAGATCTGGGTAAGCCTGTTATGAATCTACTTATTGGCAGATTTTCGAAGCTGTTAAGCTGCAGAGGTCGAGTTGATTTCGACGAAGACAAATTATCGAAGGTTCGAGGTTACAAAGTTACGAAGGTACGAAGGTCGAAGTTGCGAATGTCAAATGTGCGAAGGTACGAATGAAAGTAATCGAGGCTCGAATTATCAAAGGTTACGAATTCATATGTTCAGATTATCATGTTATCAAAACATTGAGTTCCCAATAAGTAAATTATACAATAAACATAAAAGTTGTTAGAACTAAAGTGTCAAAGGGTAGAATTTCACCTATTCATGGAAACTAAGCTAGTCACTGTTGAAGCTTTGTCGTGGAGTGATAGATGTGAGAGTGAGGTTTATGGGTCACGATGTATGAGATAACTGAGGTGCGGATGTAGGAGTTCCTTACTATTGTTGTTGTACTAGTTAGGGTTGTATTGTCTATATACAAAAAGGATTTCTCCATCTACAAGTGGGCCAGATCGCTTAGATCTGGCTAGCGGCTTTCGCCATCCTCTTCCTTCTCCCCCGCATGGCATCACGTGCTATACAACTACTGCTCACCATGAAGTCCGAGGATGAAAAGCGTTAGATTACAACAGTCACGTCACATGACCTTCCTAGCAGTACATAGATTTCATCTGTAGCAGTAGACCTCATAAGTCAACATTTACAATCCATAAACCATGTCCCACGTTCTCTCTAAGAGGTTATGAGCCCGGCGCTTCCTGTGGAATCACGATTTGTAACTCGATTCTTCTTCTGTTCGCGACTCTAATCACCACTCAGTCTCCAGTACTACGGTGTCCTCGTTCTGAATCTGCATTCACGCCTCTACCTCTCAGTCATTTTTGTTTATCAAACAAGGTATCTCTGGCTCGCTACTCACCTTTCTTGATTCTATCACTTCTCTGTGTTTATACACTTATCTTAGAATTTTATTTTATTCTATTTAGACTGCTTCATTTTATTTAATATGGCACCCTCTAATCTTCGCGCCAATGACATGGCGCTTCCTCCGGCCTTAAAACTCCACGGTATCGCTAACCTAAAGGACTGGATGCTACTCATTGAATCCACTTCGCGACAAAACTCTCTTTCTGATTGGATTGATCATGTAAAGACTGAGGTTATATATATCCCTGAAAAGGGAGCTGGCTATAAAGATTGGACGACTTCAAACGAGCTTGTCAAAATGACACTGGCAATCAATGTTGATCCAGAATTTATTCAAATTGTCATGGCTGAAAATTTTGCCTGTGACAGTTACAAAAAGCTTTGTCGCTTTCTCCAAGATAACAGCATTGCGGCTGTCGAAACAAGCATCACCGATTTTCTTGAACTCACAGAGAACTTCGAGAAGTATTCGTCCTGTCAAGCTTACATTCTGGCTCATAAATCAATGGTCTCAAGTCTTCTTTCTCTTGGCTCTCCTCTTCCCTCACTGGTCTATTGCCTAGTATTAATCCGTGCAGTTTCTCAGAAATACTCTCAGTGGACTTCTACTCAACGCTACCACTTCTCTGCTGTAACATCTGTTACTCCCGCTCCAACTCTTGAAACTCTTTACACGACCCTCCAAGATCACATTAGATTGGCCGAGAGCATGGCACCTATTCAGGTTCCTGTTTCACAAGCACACGTTACAGGTTCAAAGTTAAAGAGAAACAAGAAGTGGGATGGTCCTAATTGTCAATGGTATACTGGCCCGCACGATGATACAAAATGCTTCTTTAAATACCCAGAACAGCATGCTGAGTATATGAAGAAATTTCCCAGGTCCAATTACACTGAAAATAAGAAGTGGCGTGCTGAATTCCAGAAGCGTCAATTGCCTAGCAAAATTTCAACTCACTACTCTGGCTTTGATGCTCGTTTCGAGAACTACAATCCTTTTGAGAAGGATACCAATGAACGTGTCCAGTCCACACTTTATTCGCCGCCCTCGTCCTCCTCAAATTTTACAGCAGCCTCTAGTCCTTATTTCATGGATTTTAATCCAAATCCACTTCAATAGGGCTGCGCGGGAGTTTTGACAACATCATCAACTCCCACCCACCATAATTTCTCAAGGAGTCAACAATGGGATAATACAATGCTCCCACCTGAGATTGAGCGACGCCAAAATAATGGTGCCTTTCGCTATGTTGATCATGAACTTCATTCAATCAACATGTCAGGCTCGTTGGCTAGTTCGGAGATCAAGGGTCGGGACGGATGTAGTCGGGACAGAATGTGGTCGGAACAGGATGTGATCTGAACGGGACGAAGGCGAGACAAGACGGAGGCGGAACGGGACAGAGTCGGGGTATAAGGTAAAGCTTATAATAATCGGATCAATCTAAAGTCTAGAATAATTACAAGACAAAAAGCTACAGAACAAATTCAGTCCTAGACCTTCCTTAAGTACTCAAGAGCGGCTACTACAACTAGGGGTATGATAGTCTACAACTATAACATAGCAACTGATTGCTTATGTTGATTAGTAACTGTTGCTATCATAACATTGTAACCATCGCAACGCATTGACTATGTTACTAGGGAAGTTCCTGACTTGGTTGACCAGACTAAGCGCAGCATCTCAGCATTAGCCCATGGCACAATGGTAGTAACAAGCAGGCCGTTTTCCTCGTGGGAAAGCCGGTCTGTGACACAACACTGGTATAAATTCTGTGTTTACATCAACGCACCCGACTACAAGCTCTCGTGATATCTGGCTGCATGACGATGGTGCATCTGTTCATATCACAAATGACATCAATGCGTTTTTCCGTTATCGGCCAGTAGCTGGATTGCCTTTCGTTAAAACTGGGGGGAGTCCTGTTCAGCCTGTCGGACTTGGCTACATTAAGCTACGCGTTCTTCGGCAAGACGACTCAGTCAACGAGATTGTCCTTGAAAACGCTCTCTACATTCCTGGCTTTCCACTTAATATTTATTCTAGGTGGCTTCATGATCTTCGGGATGGGTGGGATAAGCATCGGGGTTTGTATGAAGCGGACGGCTCTGAAATGTGTCAACTTCTTCGTGGTCAGAATTGCTTACACTTGCGCACTGCATCATCGCCGTATGTTCTCAACACAAATGATCCTTCAATGCGACCCTCCACCTTCCTTCTCTCTCCAGTAGGCGAAAACGTCTTTCCTGCAGCAATTCATGAAGCTCCTATCACTCTAGAACTTCTTCACCGCCGTCTAGGACACATTAGCTTTCCAAATGTCCAGCGAACGATTAATACAACCCTTGGTCTATCTTACAAACCTCGTGTCTGATTAAAGTTCTGTATCATATCACGTGCCTTATTATCGTAATATTTCCTTATATAGAATAGCGCGGGGAATAAGAAATTGGCTCCCCAATGTAATTATTAGATGTTCCATAGGAGGGAGGGAGTTAGACAGGAATTAATTGATACCAATATTGTTACAACAAGCTTGTCACGAAACCCGTCCACTTGAAGTATTCCGACACTGATCAGTAGACGTACAGATCAGATACATCTTGTGAAGAGAGATTCAATCGTTCAGTCCCTGATAAAGGCTTCGGCTCGATTGCGTTTGCTAAGGAGTATAGACTTGATAGTTGACCCTTTCCTTAAGGCCCTTGACTTCAAATATATATTCAAGGATTTGACCCCTTTCACAAGGCCCTCAAATCCCGTGTCCACTACGCAAAAATAAGCTCTTGAATAATTAAACACATATCGACCCCTTCATCAAGGCCCTCGATTCTGCGTAATATTTCAACAGCCTAAATTCATACGACCCCATTTTCTACTTTCATCATCACTAACTTTTGTAAAACCTGCATTCAAAATGCCCGACTCGTACACCGATTCCAAGCTATCTACAGGCGGATCCTGTCAGGTAACTGGGAGCCTGACCTGTGACAGGCGAAGTGTATGTAATTAAAGTAAAAGATAACTCAGTAAAAACAACTTGATTTTTATTTCTCCCGGAATTCTAGGACTATATACACTGATCATGATTGACTTGATCTCTTGATCTCTAAATATAGACATGCGCTAGAAATAGAATAACCTGCAGTTCTAAATACAGAATTGAAGCACTGACCGAAACAAATAACCCACGTATATATGGACAGTCCCTATTTTTGACCTGAGACATTTCTTTGTCCAACTTCTTCGGTGGTTATTCTTAGCCGTTGACAGATCCCGACCCTCAACGAGATCACAATAAAAGCAGACGGCGCTTGATAAGGAAGCAGAAGCCAGGCAACAGCAGATTAACAAATTCATGGAACAGAAAGTCAACGACTACATAATGTTCAAGATCAAAGATGATAACCTTTGGGAAGCTTTCAAGGAAGATTTTATATCTTTTGAAAAGGATGATTTCAATGCTGCCTCTCTCGTTTACGTTCGAGGTCTTCGGACCCACCTGCGTACACACGGAGTTTGGGTTAAGAATAATAGAGGTGTTAGCATTGTTACTTCATTAATGGAAACACTTAATGAAGATGACCC